AGAAGGCTGGTTGCTTCCTCCAGAGATGTTCTGAGTGAAGGTAGAACAGGGCAAGAATCAGCTCCCCCTGTACTGTATTCTTGTTGGAAAAAAAAGCCAAGATGTGTGTGTGGTAGTAGGAGGGGGATCAGTTCTAAATTACAAAAGTGTATGCCCTTTAAGTTAATAACTTCTGGCTTTTAGGGGGAAAATTTCAAATATTTTCTCAAATCCATGTTGTGGCAATTCAGTTTTCAGTGGAAGTAAAGTAATGATGATTGTAGCAAGAAAATGCAGCACAGAAGCTGAGAAAGCATAGAATCATTTATCTGCTAATGCACTGGTCTCTATACCCTGTGCTTTGTTAAGAGCCAGATTTACTGATTCTGCTCCATATTGCAAAGCAGTCTTAAGTTGCCATAACTGGTTTTGTTAGGATAGGGATCTAGCTGATGTTTTTCACTAGAGCAGAGTAAAATAATTAATGGATAAATCTTGTCCAATGTTTGCAAGAACTGACATGACAGAAAATATGAATAGAAATGGCTGGTTTTAAGATTTTAGGTTTCCTAGAAAATTAGAAAATTTGCATCTTGTGCAATGTCACTGCTTACACAGAAAGTCACTAAATATTTTTCTGCCCCTGGTTCTGTTGCTCAGCATTCACCTTTTCCATTTTCTGTGAAATAATTTCTGTAGTTGACGGAGATTCAAGGAAAACCCTTGTTTTGTTGCTTCTCTTTGTAATGACCACATGAAGTCTTTATTGTACCAGGGGCATTTGTGTAAAGCATTTCTCAAGAGTTCCTGTGATATATTTTCATTCATTGTTGGATGGGGTAATGTTTTCTTAGATGTTGTAACTGTGTGTACCACCCTACGCACCAGGTTTGTTTTCAGTTCTATTCCCTACTCAACCCAGTAAAGTGGCCATTCCTGATGGTCACGTTATGGTCTTTTCCCTGTATCTAAACCACACCTCTGTGGAGTCACAAATACGTAACAGTTCCATTTGCTTCCTTTTACACTTACTGTGAAAACATAGGTCAGCATATTTTTTATTCTCATTTCTGATTTAGAGGTCTAGCTCAAGTGTTCATTTACTATGTGTCAAATGCCCAGAGTTACAAGACTTGATTGCAAAATTGAGATTTTTAAAACTTTTCTGTCTTTTTGACAAAATGTTTTTCAAATTTTTATTCAACTAATAAGAAATTCATGTTTTTCATCCTGTTCTCTCCGACCGCAAAAGTTAGAATTCTTTTTTTTCATTTTTCTTTCTTTCTTTTTCTTTTTTTTTGTTTTTTTGAAAGAAAGCCAAGATTCTGACACAATCTCCATACTGCAAAAGCTGGGCTTTAACACTATCACATGGCTCGTAAGAAAATTGTTAGATAGGCACCACTGTGTTTACAAAGATCTTTACTGTTGTCGCCGCATGTAAATTTGCAAATGGGTGTTCTGTGTGGAGCCACAGACCATGTTTAGTAAATGCCTAGAAAAATTCTTGAGATGGACAAAGAGCCTCTTGGAGCAGGGACAACCTTTTCAGAGTTGGAGACTACTTTAACGAAGTGAGGTCTGAAGACAGGCCGCCTCCTCTACCTGGCCAGTGCTGCTTATGCCTCTATCCCACACAGTGCTGACCTACTGCCAAATCACTGCCGACATCCCAGTTTCACAGCCCAGATCTAATCTTTTGGTGGACTAGTTCCAGCCCATGGCCTGTAAGTTGCTGATGCTTGTCTTAGAGTATAGAAGGAGTCCAACTGCTATGAGATCTTCCAAAATTCTGCCCTGTTTACTTTGCCCTGTGTAAAGCCAGCTAATGTGAAATGTTGGCAGATCTATCACTCAGCCTTGTCACTATCAGGTCTTTCCAGATAATCTAGTGCTGTCAGAAAAACTAGAGTTGCAAACTCTATACATCCTCAAAGTGCAAGGATAAAGAATGTGTACAGTGTCCTATGTTTCTATAAAAGACAAAAATGTTCTATGGCAGATCTCATAAGGAATAGCACTCAATGTCCAAAAATTTGTTCAACTGCTCTCTTAACTATGTAGTTGATCCAATAAAAAGATAACAGAAAAACCTATCCTCTTGGGCTGAGGACAGACATTCAAAAAGCCTGATCCTGAATTGATTCAATCTTTGCAGTTTAGTTTAACCTGGCTAGGCTGAACCAGTTTTTAATCACACCGACATGCCCCCATGGATTGAAGAAATGCAGGCACATGCCAGCAGTGGCTCAGGCGAGAAGCTGGGGGTGCTAGAGCATCCCTACCTTCCCTTCCAAAGTGCTGGGAGGGGATGAGGGAGGCGAGGCCAGGCACTGGTAGGATGCTCTGATTAGGAAGGGGTTCTGCACCCCCCCAGCCAGCAGGGAGTTGATAACAGAGTATTTATCAGCTCTGTTACCAGCATTTATCAGCCCCTCAGAAAACAAAAGCCTCTCTTATTAGTTCAAGCTCTTCTTAAACAGTTTTTTCCCATGGAAGGAATGGAGGGACATTACCAGCTGACCTGCTGATTAGCTCCAAAAAGCCCTAGGTGGACACTGTCTTGTCTGCCTTATACAGGCACCTCTCAGCATTAGCTAGCATACCACATGCTGGCTATGGTCCATGCTGTGTGAGGGAGGGAAGAATGGGGGAATCCCTGCTTGAGCAGTGAGCAGCAAGCAGCAAGGGGGCAGGGGGGGTGGGGACAGGGAAAGCCAGGCAGATGCTGCTGTGCCTGCCATCTCTGCCAGAGCTCCAGTGAGAGAGAAGAGGGGAGGGGCCAGGCCCCACTCTCTGGAGCGGAGAGCCCCACCTAGAGCTGAAAAGCATCTGGGATGCTGGGGGACTCTGGTTTAACTTCAGCCAGGAAGGGGTCTGGGTCAGACATTGCATAAACCAGTTTGACCCAAATCAGTTCAGTCTGATACTACATTCAACCAGGTAATATCTCAAACCTATTTCAGCCATTTTCAAAGTGGTTTGTGTGCACTGAACATCTGTTCTGTTACAGGTTTAAACCAGTTTCTGATCACTTAAACCAGTTTATGTGTAAAGTCTGTCCCAAGCTTTTTACATTTCCTGGACCATCATAGCTACAGCACTCCAACCCCGTATTCCTATATCCTACATTCTCTAGTGCATCTGCAGGAGAACTGGCACAGTTTAGCCTAGCATACAGGTCTTCGAATTGATAGGTTTGTAGCCCAGGTGTACTTGGGTATATATTCCCCGTCTCTAATTGAAGGGAATTGTTAGCTGGAAGGTATGCTGTGGGGGAACTTCAGACCTCTCAGTTTCCCTCCATCCCTAAAGAACCAGGCCAGGACAGCTAGAGGACTTAAGTATATACAAATTTATTTACATTAACTTTTCACAAGGAAAAGAAACATGGATATAAACATATGTACTGTATATATATATGATATGTGTGTGTGTATGTATCTAAAGTAATAACATAAGCAATACCCTCTGGGTAGATGCTATAAAACATTACACCAGTGGTCCACATACAGGTAAATCACAGGTAAGTATCTGATCTGAAACAGATGAACCCCAAAATAAACATAGGTAACAGATAAACTATAGATAAGTATAGGTGAACAATAAATAAGCCACAAATAAACAACAGGTGAAATAACAGCAAAAGCAGGTCCCAGCAGAGCCCTAGGACTCTACTCATCTACTAGTTCACAAAATATAAGGTATGACATCACACCACTTATGGCACAAGAACCCCAAAGATAAACTTAATCCCAAGGGGAAACCCCAGTGGCCTATGGCTTTTTCCCAAGCCCTTCAAGGAAGCTGGTAACTTCAGGGGGGCACTCCCAGTGGGCCCTTCACTTTAAGGAGCCCTTAACTAACCAAGGGGGACTCCCCCTCTCCTGTGGGAATCCTTTTTTCCCTGCAACTCATGGCTCCAAGGCCTGGAGGGTGGCCCTTGTCCTCTGCACCAGGCTGCTCTCGCACCTGCAGTAGGCATCAGGGGGGCGGGGGAGTTGCTGTCCTTTGGAACAGGGCTTCGCTATGCAGGGCTTCTGGGGCCTCTGGCTTAGCCCTGTCTGCTGGCTTACTAACCCAAGCACCATCTGGCTCCTTGGACTATGGGTTGGAGGCCCAGGCTGCCTCTGCAACACCGGGCTCAGTCCGGTCCCAGACCCTCCATGCAGCGCCTCCTGCACCGAGCTCCCAGCCTCATGCCGGGGGTTGGGGACCTGAGCCACCCAAGCACTCCAAAGATCCTGCTCTATGCACCAGCCTGTGCACTGTCTCTGGCCACGTGCCAGAGGTTGCAGACCTGAGCCGCCCCACACAGCTCCCAGGGTCTGGATGCTATGCACCGTGGTGCGCACTGAGACTCTAACCACTGGAATTGTCCTCTGCTCCTTGCTGATAGAAGTCTTCAAGTGCTCTTCCTGGGCTACTGCTTCACCCTGCTGGGCAGCTCTTCTCAGCTCTTCTAAGGCCCGCTCTTCTCTCTTCTCTGTCCCGGATGCGTCGCCCCTCGTGCTGGGCAGGCAGCTCCTTTTATACATTCCAGGGCTCCGCCCCTGAAGTCTTCCGGACCTGACAGTGTTGCTGTCTACAGTGAGGTCCGGAAGGAGCTCCTATCGCCCTCTCCTCAGGAAAGGGGCATGACTCAACTCCTTTTGCTGCCTCCTGATTGGTGGCTGGGCTTCACCAATCAAAACAGCAGAATCTTAACCCTAGGACTCAACCCAAGCTCCAAAAGGCAAGCCTGCTACAGATTTTATACTTGTTGCTTTTTATATTGCTATATTTTGATTGCACATATATTTTGATTTTTATCTCTAGGTAGAACCTTTCTTTGTGAGCGTGGCTCTGTTTGATATCAGGGACAACAGGAAAATCTCTGCTGATTTTCATGTGGATATGAACCACATGCTTGTTAGACAAATGATTTCAACTTCCTCGCCTTCTTTGGAGAATGGCACTATTGAAAATATGGACTCAAAAGAAACAGAAGAGCCACAGATCAAGGGATTTCCACAGGAATGGCTGAAATATCCAAAACAGGTATTTTATGTGTGAATTTTATCACATGATGATGCTTTTTTGGGTGATATCTTTCATTGGACTAAATATGCCTTGTCTCTTGCATATTTCCTGGACCGTGATGGCTTCAACATCTCTCCAATTTTTGTATATCAGATGTTATATTAGAAAGATATCCTTCACTTTCACTGCAAGATGAAGATATGTTATTTATGGAACATGTTTTCAGGCACCTGTTCTCAAGTTTGTTCTGCCCATCCTAAAATAGGCATCAGTAGCTTCTTTGAAAAAGTCAGTATCTGTTAGCTGAAGATACTCAGAAAATATGAAGCTATTTTTTATGCTAACTCTTTAGGCTTAATTATTGGCCTTTCCCATACCAATTAGACAAACTTATAAAACCTCTTCTGGATTTCTTCATTGATGTCTAAGCAGGGACATGGTCCTTGTCCTCCATTGATTAAAAGTGGCGCTTTTTAAACTCCTTACTGTCATCCAACAGGAATGAAGAAACTTTTTGGATGACCAAACATTGAAACAAAAGATTGTCATAAAACAAAAGTAAAATAAAACAGGGCTTTTCAAAATGTTGATTAAAAGCAGGATTTTCATTTCCAATTTTCTAATTGAAATATCAAAGAAAAATCCTTAGAATCAGTACTTTCCTGCTAAAATTTTCAAAATCAACAAAACCATATTTTCTAATTGAAAAAAATGGTGAAACATTTCAACCTGCTGGTTATTTGTATTCATAATTATAGATTTGTAGGTGAAAAAAATCAAAAGGAGAATTATGATGAAAAATACAAACTGATTTCTTGTGTGGAAAATATTCCATAGATAATATTTAGTCATGTACAAAATAAATTACTAGTCAACTCTAACCTATTCTAAAATGGTTAGGGAGCTGAGACATATGACTTATGAGGACAGGCTGATGAAACTCAGCTTATTTAGTCTTTAGAAGAGAAGACTGAAGGGGAATTTGATAGCAGCTTTTAAGTTCATGAAGCATAGTTCCAAAAAGGATGGAACTAGACTGTTCTCAATGAGTGGCAGATAGTAAAACAAGGATCAATGATCTTAAGTTGCAGCAAGGGAAGTTTAGGTTGGATATTAG